CTTATATTAAAATTTTTAAAAAGAACACGGTTTTAATAAATTATCCGATCAGGATTTTGCCTAAAACCATGAATATACCCATGCTGACTTCCCGATTACTCACATATTACTCACAATTGCCCTTTACTCACAAAATTACTCACAGACTAGTAAATTACTCACAAATATGAGGAATTACTCACAGATTGGCAACCCTGATTAAGACGCCCCGACACCACGTGTACAATTCAAATGCCGGTTTTGCTGGTTACCTCTTGTCTAGCATCCGTCTCCCTTCCTCGAAGAAATCGCCTGTGAGAAAGGATACACTGGAAAAGTTGTTTGTGATACGCTAACATAATATTCCTTGGCTGCTGCTGCACTGTTATTTTATACAAATTAATTTTTGTAGATTAGCAGGATCATCTATATTATTTGAAAATTTTGTTTATTTCCGAGTACAGAATAAATAACTGCGTTATTAGTGTGATAATTTAAATAAAATAAATGATTTATTATATAAAAATTAATTAATTCTTTAAAGGTTTTATGTTTCGTTCTTAAACTTTGTTTTATTTGAGTTGACTAGTAGGTAATTATCATTTTTTTGATTTCAGATAACAATTTTTTTGCAAACAAATATTTTTGTGTATTAAAAATATAAAATTGTAAATTTCGAATTGAACATAAGATTTATATTATTTACATTACCTTCTTAGGCAGGGACGGTTACGTGACTAATTTAGATAAGTGTACTGTATTATATTTTAAATTAAAAGGCAATACTGGTATTTTTTTGTCGAGTAAAACTCAAACAATTTTCATGAAATATTTTTATTGTATTAAATAATTCTTAATTTGTTTAACTCAAACTCTAAGTCTTTTTTCTTTGTTATCTATTGCTTTAAGGATATATTCGGGTTCCCTAATTGACATACCTCTGGATAAATCTTGAATCCACAATTTCGGGAAGAAGGCAGTGAAAATAAAAATTTTTAAGGTGAGGCAACATAGTGTTTACCCAAAAATCGTTGTCTCTAGTAATTGTTTCCAGCTTAATGTCATTTTTAGTCCAGATACAAAGAATACAATATTCTTTTTTTTGCTACATTTAATTGACCTTGAATCTGATAATACCAGTTGTGTCCTGTATTTATTGACACTTCATTATTTTTGTTTATTTTTAATATTTAAATTTTTTTCTGCCTAATTCCATCTATTATTGTAGAGTCTCTGGCAGAGTAAGGGCACTTAATTTCGATTAGTCCTTTTTCTCCCAGAAGACCAACAGGTGTTGCAGCCAACCAGGGGTATTCACCGCTAATAAATAATCCACTTGACTTGATATTCAATTTATGCTTTTTTATCAAAATATTTTTTACAGTAGACTCATTGACTTTACCCCATTCTACTGCATTGCTCCTGATAAATGGTTGTGTAAGGAGCTTATGAACTAAATTTGCCGAAATTTGCACAAGTCATTGGATTTCGCTTACAAACCTCTCCAAAATGTGAAGCTGTTAAAAGGTGTTTTCGAATTTCGACCCATTTAAAATTGTTGGCCTGCTCTTTGGTTCTTGCTTCAATGGATTCAATTTCCTCTTGTTTTTCGAAGCGAAGATAGAAAACATGCTTTAGCTTCTTCAAAATCTGCTGAGGACATATCTGGCTTTTCACACTTTGGGCCGTAATTTTTGTCCTCAAAATTTAATCTTTTTAATTTTTTTTACCTTATTTCTTTTAATTTTCTCATATGCTCTCTGTCTTTTCAATGAAGGGCTTGCCTTATTTTTATACTTATATGTATTATAAAAAGTAGATTTTTTGGTATTATACCTAAGAAGAGCAGCAAAACATCTACGTTTGTATTGTCTTCTCAAAGAATAATTTATTCTTTTACCTCCTATAAATTTACAAACAATGCTGTTGAATTGTTCAGCAACATTACTGTCTCGATTTTTTGAACTGTTTTGTTGTATGGTTTAGCATCTAAAATTTGTTTGTAGCAGTTACTATCCCCATCAGCAATAAATTTTGTGTACCTGAGACCCAATAGACTTTTACTATTTTTGAAACCTTCAACGATAATTGCAGCTTCCATTGCAGTTGAGGGTCCGTTCCAATTTTTAAAACATATATGTTTCGGAATCTCCTTATCGCTGTTGCGATATCGAGAACAAGTTATACAGTATTTATTACGAACCCCCAGATGTAAAACTTTTCCTGTATTTTTACCTATAATAACGGCAGAACCTGACAATGCATTATAATTTCGTTTATAAGAACGTTTACTCCAGGTTCCATCGCAAATAACTGTAATGTCTGGAACACCATCAAGACCAATAGTTCCTTGTTCTTTCGCAATGTCAGCTTCTTCATTAGCTGCTTCTTTCATATTATTAAACGCTAATTGCTTTATATCTTCAAAGAGTTTATTTTGCTTATCAGAAAAAGTACTTTGACTCATGCAGGGAATATCTAAATTTAGACAAAATTCTTGCAAATTTATTAAATCCATTTCCAATACTCGTTATTCCATTCACAGCTCGAATATTTATGTCCATGTCACAGTTAATATCGGATGTCGATACTGTCCCAACGTATTTACACATAGTACATCTTAAGATTAAAATTGAACAAAATCCCATTTTCAATTCTTTAACAATTTTCAAATTTTTTTAAATTGCAACCGTATACTCCACTGAAATGATATGATACAACTTGTAACTGTTTAAAAAAATCTGATGTGTCCAACACATGACTTTCCTATCTAGTTATTATAGGCATTTTCCGGTTATTTTGTACAACCTATTGCAGCATCTCTATAAATGTTTAGAGGATAAACTAAATATATACATTTTACACATACATCTACCTCGAAACATTTTTCTATAGATATTCATTGAAAACGAAAATACAGAAAAATTTAAATTTAGCACTTTTCCATTACGGTCCATTTTAGAAAAATCATGTATAAACAAAAATTATAGAAATCGATATCGCAAACAACTTTTAGTTCAACAATTTTCATAAAAATCAGAATTTTGCACATTTTGTCAAATTTCTCGAATACGGACCATTTCAGGAAATTTTGACATAAAGCAAAAATTATAGATAATAATAAAAGTAACTTTTATTTGAACAATTTTTTTCTCCAAACATTAATAACAGATATATTCCATAAAATATAAAAACGGCCTCCCATAAAGTACCCCCCAGATGTTCCGACTTTGTCCAAAATCTAATCATTTCACGTCAGGCCGAAATAAACCTTAAGTTTAAAATTTAATGTTTTTTCCTTTATCCGTTTTTGAGTTTTCTTCAAATTTCGAAATTTACACATTTTCTCAAATATCTCGAATACGGTCCATTTTAGAGAAATTATGTATAGGACAAAAATTAAAGAGAATTATATTACAAAGAACTTTTATTTGAACAATTTTTATAAAAAATTATGTTTTTTACATTTTGTCAAATTTCTCGAATACGGACCATTTTAGGAAAATTTTGCATAAAACAAAAATTATAGATAATTATATTAGAAGTAACTTTTATTTGAAGAATTTTCTTCTTCAAACGTAAATAACAGATATATTCCATAAAATATAAAAATGACCACCTATAAAGTACCCCCCCAGATGTTCCGACACTGCCCAAAATCTAATCAGCTCATTGGACGCTGAAACGAAGCTTAAGTTTAAAATTTGGTGTTTTTCTGTGTATCGGTTCATGAGTTATGCGTTATACAGACACACACAGACAGACAGACATCATCGCGAAAATAGTCAAAACGGATTCAGGGGACCTCAAAACGTAAAAATCCGTCGAAAACTCGAGGTCGAAAAAAATCATGATTCCTATACTTTCCTTATATCTGTATACAGATAGGAAAGTAAAAATGGGTGATATTAACTATCCTATTTCCTTCAATGCTTCTATCTAGAAATATACCCGGTGATTCCAAATTATATTTTGACACAGTTTCAACAGGTATTTCTGAAATCTCATCGATTTCATCAAAAGTTGCTTGACGATCAATTTCAGAAGATGTTCCTGGAAGCCCATGTTTGGAGCCAGCAGAGATTGTAATATCATAAGCGTATGCTGAAATAGACACAAGAAACAAAACTACCTATCTAGAATAAGTGCAAGAGCGAATAGACAGAACAATAGGAAGTAGCCAGGAACTGGAAATACACCTTACGATTACGTCATAAAAATACAGATCCGGTTTTTTATTTGTTTTAAGTACAAAACAAATTATATTGGTGTTTGATAAAAGATATTAGCTTTAGATGTAGAAAAATAAAAAATAAATAAATTAACTCCATTGATCCACGCGTTTTGAGACAACACATGACTAATAATTTTTTAATTAATTAAACGAAAAAAATACATCCGCATATATTTAAAAACTTCAATTTCATCCTTTTAATATAAAAACTGTTTTTTCCGTGTATCTCAGGTATTCTCGCTTTCTGAAGATAGTACGGATATATTCCGCAACGAAATTAGCGGGGCGCCATATTACGGACGTAAATAGTTTTTGGACGGTGGAAGGTTTAATTTTGTAAATAAAAATATGCGGTTTTTTTCATTGTATTTGTAGTTTTTATAAGAAGAGATGACTAGTTTTAGTTTTTTAAATTTTATTTTTATTAAAAAAAATTACATCCTATTTGCAAAATTAAAAAAAAATATAAAAATGTGCCACTAGTCCTCTCTTAAGAATTAGATCTAGAATAAATCGGTGAAAACCGCATCCTTCTAAGTTTGAAAATAAAGAAGTTGCCGTCCAAAAACTTTTTCAGTTATGAATAAAATTGGTGTCGGGGCCTCTTAACGATATTTTGCATCCATTAAACCAAAAATGTTATTTTCTTTGTTTTTTGACTTGTGGCGGTTTTTGATTGAGCCAATTGGGCCATTTGTATTACCAAGAAGGTTAACTGGAGAACTTACAATAACTTTTATATTTTATATCATTTTTAAACTTGATTTTTCTTTTAATTTCGTTACAGAAGGTCCATTCCAATCTGACGCGCTTCTAGTACCGGAAAGCTGTATGTTCGATCACATCCACAATCAGACCAATTGCTGGACCTTTGGTCGCTGGAACTCCACAGCTGGAAACGCTTGCCAAGAAAAAGGATTACAACTGAGATCTTTCGCTATGTTGTTACCTTGCGGAATATCCTTGTTTAGCGGTGTCGAATTTGTGTGCTGTCCGAAACATCTCAAAGGTTAGTATAATTGTTATTATTAAACATAATTAAAGGCTAAAAATTAGGTCCTATTTAACCTAATAATTATTCATAAAGAAGTTTTAATTTATTTTTAAACATTTATCGATATGAAGTTAATAATATCATTGCAAAAACTATTCCATACTTCAAAGATTCTATTTGTGTAAAAAAAATTCCGCGCGCCCATGATTTCTAATTCTTAGAAAATCATTCGTTATTATAGATCAATATTTCAACAGGGGTATGATATTTTTTTAAGTTGTTTGATACAGTCAGTTGTAAAGGGCGTACGTACAATTTTTCGAGTATATGAGTTTCAATGCTATTCTTTTTCCCAAATTATGAAAAAATTAAAAAATATTTTAAAAAAATTTAAAAAGTACAATAAAGAACGTGTTGATATCTAGAGTAGCGCCTGGCTTGACAATATAATAATAACAACAAATTTTCATTTCATAAAAATAATAAGTCAGCTTTTTTTGTTTTTTATATAAATCATCTACTTTCCAAGGTAATAAATCAGAAGGAAAATCACCGAAAACCGATTTCAAAAAGGTCTATTAGTATTTTTAGAAAATGGAAAAAGAAACAACGCTTTTTAATCGAGTTAAAAATCTTTACTAATTTCGCTGTCTTTCTTCCAGGATGTCCGGTCTCCCTCTTGTTAAAAATCGATAACTAAGGTATTTTATACCTTACACGTGCATGTTACTACATTTAAATTAAAACATTTGTGAATGTTAAAAAATTTAAGAAAGATTTTGTAGAATATAAATCTTTTTTATAAAAATTAGTAAACTGCTGTATACGATATTCTAAAAGGCAAAACACATTTATGTGATTATAATTTTTTTTTATAATTTTTCTAATATGGATTGCTCTCTAAATATACAGGGTGTCATTGAAATAGTGTAAAAAAATTCTGGAGGTGATAGTACTCCTAAAACTAGTAAAAAAAGTTCCTATAACTATGGGTCGTTAAATGCATATTAAGGGATTTCGGGGAGTCAAAAGGGCAAACTTGTAAAGTGTTTTTTTTTAAATTGTAAGCTTAAAAAACACGAAAAAAATTACTGCTGACATAAAATTTACTGCTGAATCCAATGGTTATTTTTTGATGGGTTGCTCACAGGTTAATCAACATAAATTTATGAAAATTATGGCGTGGTTATTTCAATTTAGAATTACCAAATCGCCTTGTTAAACAAGAGAAGCGCCGAAATTATTTTAAATAATAAAAGAGTGAGAAATTAAAGTAAAAAATATTTTATGACTATTATGGAAAGTACCGTATTTTTGTATCATATCAGTCTGACTCTTTTATTTAAAGTAAATGTTCAATGAGGCCAACATTCATTTCAATACAGACACCTCCAGGATCTGCGTACCCTATCGAAAATCCTTGGCGTTGTACGAATTTGATTGGAGCAGTCAATTATCCGTTGTCGTAGTTGCTCTTCAGTATTAATCGGCACTGAGTAAACCAAAGCTTTTAAGTGACCCCATAAGTAGAAATCAAGTGGATTAGGATCTGGTGATCTGGCTGGCCAAGCTTGTGGACCACCACGTCCTATCCAACGCCTCTCGAAAACTTGATTTAAATGATTTCTCATGGCTAGTGGAAAATGAGGTGGTGCACCATCGTGCATAAAATACAATATCTGCCTCTGTGCTATTGGAACTTCCTCCAAAAGTATTGGTAAATGGTTTACCAAAAAATGAAGGTAATTTTGTTCATTAAGCCTAAAAGAATAATAATAATTAGGAATTGGTGACGTTTGAACAGTTTTAAAATTTACCTATTGGATAGAAAGAATGGTCCAATAAGTCTATCTCCAAGAATTCCCGCCCAAACGTTTACTGAGAAACGAACTTGGTGTCGGCTTTCCATGACAGCATGAGGATTTTGATCGGACCAGTAATGGGTGTTGTGGTAATTAACAATCCCATTTTTGGTAAACCCTGCTTCATCAGTGCATAAAATGTTTGACAGAAAAAAGGGATCTTCTACCAGTTTTCTTAATAACCAACGACAGTAATTGGCACGAGCGGGATAGTCTGGAGGATTAAGGGCTTGTACCCTTTGGATGTGGTATGGATACAGCAGTTGAATATGAAGAGTCATCCACACAGTATGGCGACTCACGTTTTCTCGCGCTGCAATTCTCCTTACGATAACCCTGGATCTTCTTCTACACTTCTTAAAATTCGCTCTTCAATTGCTGGTGTACGCACTGTAACATTACGGCCGCGATCATGGTGCCTGTTACTAAATGAACCTTCGTCTCTCAGGCGCTGATGGACTCTGACAAATATCTTATGAGAGGGTGCTTTACGATTTGGATATTTTTGAATATACAAACGTTTAGCTAAAAGACCGTTTCCGTTCGCTCTTCCATAAATAAAATGCATCTCTGTCAGTTCAAGTACAGTGTATTCTATAATTTCTGGTATATTACGCTCACGTACACTTCAACAACAAGAAACTGACAGAAATACTTAAAAACCAGAATAATTTTAGGCAAAATTATTTACAATTTCTTTTTTTTGCTAAATTGAAATAAAAAAATTGTGATAAGGCCATGTACACAGCTATTGTTCTGTCCTAATTTGATTATTCCATTTACAAAAAGTATTTATTGACAGTGGCGTGCCCACAAATTTCTTCTGGGGTTTGGGTTGCCACTTACCTTTCGATTGTAAAGTTGAGAGAAAAAAAATGACCCACAGACAAAAAATAATTTTTCATAATAAAATTTCTTCGACATTACTTGAAAATATTTTTTTTCTTTAGTGTTTATGAGTTTTTTGGGAGGTTGATTAGTTTAACACGTCACAATTTTCATAAATTTATGTTTATTAATCTGTGAGATCAAAAAATAAGTAATTTTACCTTTCGTTTTTCAACTACAGGTTTACCATACTCTTTGCCATCAATTTTCTCGAAAACGGTTGCTTTAAGCGACTTGCAATAAGAGTAACTTTTTTATGGAAAAAGTTTTTAAAAAATAGACCCATTTTGTAAAAAAAATCAACCTCTAAAAAGTTAATCATAAATCGACCCCTTACCCTTGCAAGAACTGCCCTTTCTGATTAAATAAGTAATTTTTCGATATTACCATTGGATTCAGCAGTAAATTTTATGTCAGCAGTGATTTTTTTCGAAGTTTTATCGTGTTTTTTAAGCTTACAATTTCAAAAAACTAAAATGAATTTAGTGAAATGTTTATCCCAACAAACTATAAAATTTTTGTCTGAAACTTTTTTTTCTAAAATGCATATTTTCGGCGGTATTTAACTGTAACACTTTAATTTGAACACCCGGTATAGACATGTTATAATTTTAATTAAATTCATCCGGCAATCTCGCAAATATATGAACGATATGGTATAGAAATTTGTGACTTCCTCATACTAATTTTAAGGGTTTGTTTTGGTTCAAACAGAACCGCTGATTCCAGTTCTCAAACACAGTAAACGAATTAATTTTTCAAGAACACGTCGCTAGTTTATAACAACCTCCCCAGCAAACATTTTCTATAACATTAGTTATATCTCGACTTTGTTTAAGACGAATTTACTTATTGAGGTAATTGTTACGTAAAATTGACTAGAAAAATACACCTCTAATGTAAATTTACCAAACGGTTTTAATTTATATTTAAATTTACGTAAATTATACCAAGAAATCTACATTTTACACAAATCTGCTTAAAAGTAACTTTAACCATATCAGCAAGAAAAAAACTACTTAAAAAAATAACCAACAATTACTTCAAAGTTAAATTTCCTTTGTAGTAAAATTAGGTGCCATATTTAGGTAATATCTACCTGTTTGGCAACTAAAAATCGTCTTTATAGTAGAATATTTAACTAGGTAGATTTGGTTAAAAATTCTACGTAATTTTATGCCTCCATAGTAACCTATTTGGCCGCTTTTATTTACTCTCCTTTAAAGTAATATTAGGTCGAGATCGTAGCAAAATTCTACCTGTTTATCTACCTAATTTCAACCAAATAGTCGAATACTCATTTAGTTGACCTATAAGTCATCTTGAAGAAATATTTATTAACTTTGTTGTAGCAATTACCTGAAAAATCTACCACAAAGTAAATTCGACTAAAAACCACCAATTTAAAAAGAGTCATACATGACCTATTTGTAAAATTTATATTATTTAGGTTATTTTAACAATTAGGTTGTTCAGTTACTGTCTCCGTCATTATTATTAAGAATTTCGGCCATTTTAAAAAAACCATTACAGTCGTAATCTTAATTTACGTGTGGTGTAGATAGAGCTTTAAATAAGTGCGAAAATAATTAATAAAATGAGTTCGAAAAATAATAAATCATATCGTTAAACTTCCGATTTTTATCGTAAAGTGAAACGACTAAAATCTCAAGTGCAGAACAACGTGATCTAGATATGTTATATTTACCTATAGGTAATTTTTTTATAAAACCTATAAGTTATTATTTCTTTAAATAGGTAAAGTTAACTAATATGTCGTGAAATTGAAGATAATTCAACTTAATAAAAAGGTATTTGTAAAATACGTAGATTTCCTTAGTCATAATAACTTTTAGGTCGAATTCGCACAATACGCCATATTTTCTTAACGTAATTGAAGTACGATTCCAAATTTTAAATTTTTAAAATGACCATAACTAGAACATACGAATGAAAATACCGAAAAACGAAACATTATTGATTTTCTAAAGTGATACACAACAAACGTAACATAGTTTTAGCTCATAATATTATTATTATTTTTTTACACGATCATATTTTTTTCTTATATTTTTTTAATTAAAGAATATTTTCGAAGGGCATTGTTATTTTTCTAAGTAGAACTGTTAACATGCACGAAAAATGTCAAGTAGAATGAAAACTTAATTTTTAAAAAATATTTTATTTGGTTAAGTACAAATAACCCCGACAATATTAATATACGATCTGAATACCTTGGATGATAATTACTAACTAACTGAAAAG